ACAAGTAGACACATCTATGTCCCAGGCTGTACTAATGGGGAAGCGCACCAGATAGGAAGTGAGGACCACTGAGAGTCTTTAGAGTTTATAAGGCTAAAAACCCCAGTCTTGGCATGCAGAGAAGGAGGGAAGGAGGTGAGCATGAACAGGAATGACATTTTCTGTTCACTTCACTGACAGCTTTGCACTGTGCATTTCCAGCTGGGCATGTCCCAGACATGATCTCTTGCATGGGCTGCACTAATGAACATCAAATGTTCAGGGTGGCGACCAGTTACATGAACAGGTGTCAGGAATGCACATTAACAGGAGTCTGACTAGGGCAGGGGTGGGCAAACTATGGTGTCTGTGCTACATCCAGCCTAAAGCCTGTTTCTGTAAATAAAGTTTTATCAAAACACCCAATTTGCTTACCTATTGTCTCCAGCCTTTTTCGTGTTGCGCTGGCAGCGTTGAGCAGTTGTGACAAACACCATATGGGCCACGAGGTCTAATATATTTGCATTCTGGCTCTCTACTGAAAAAAAAAATTGCTGAACCTTGGACTGGCGGGGCAGACAGTAAAACTGAGAAGATTAAGACCAAGGGAGCAGTGGGATGTAGTTCCAGGGACAGAGCAGTAACTCTACCAGAAAGTCAGTCAGAAACTCCCTCCTGGAACTGGCAGATGGGCAGGGTTAAATCTGAGTGGAAAATGGAAGCAGGAAGAAGGAAGAGCAAGGCCACGATCAAAACCTGAGTGACTGAGATGAACAAGCAGCAGAAGTGACAGCAGAGACAAGATCCTGTGTCTCTGGGAGTCAAGAACCACCATTTTGATGGGCTATTCTGGGCTCTCCAGACCTTCCCAAGGAGCTGATTCTTACAGCTTACAGGACCACAGTCTTGGGAAGCCACAAACCCCAGCCATGCCTTGCCAGGTAGTATTCAGGGTGGACCACAGTAGGACTGTGATGGTCAGAGATGAGTTTGAGTGGGGAGAGGAAGAAGACAGAGGAAAATACAGACTGTGTTTGGACAAGAGAAAACAGGATGCAGCTAATGGGGAGACAGATGAATACTAAGTGGGGCAACTGCAGAGGCTTTATTTAATAAGGTGTAGAGTTTGCACTGTGACGGTAAGCTCTGAGAGATGACTGAGGGACTTGCACAGGGCAGTCATTCGTGATTCCAGTTATTTGTGAGATAAGGATAGTGGGGTATGACAAAGTGCTACAAAACTGTAAGATACTGCATATCTTTGATGAACAGTAGTATGAAAGACAAAACAGATTGGGTTTGCTAGAATAAAGGTGCTAACAAGATGGCTGTCACTGGCAATCTGCTGCAGCCAAAGGCTCAGACACACCTACGCAGAGCTCTTCTTCCATGGGCTTCAACTTATTTGCATGAACATTTCAAGGAGTTGAGCAGAAAAAAGGCAGGGATGAGCTTGCAAAATGAACAGAAGTGTTGACTGGGGAGTGAAAACTGGAGTACAGGCTGGGTGCAGTGGCTCACACCTGTAATCCCAGCACTTTGGGAGGCCGAAGCGGGTGGATCACCTGAGGTCAGGAGTTCAAGACCAGCCTGGCCAATATGGCGAAACTCTGCCTCTACTAAAAATACAAAAATTAGGTGTGCTGGTGCATACCTGTAATCCCAGGTACTCGGGAGGCTGAGGCAGGATCATCGCTTGAACCTGGGAGGTGGAGGCTGCAGTGAGCCAACAGTGCACCACTGCCTGGGTAACAGAGTGAGACTCTGTCTCAAAAAAAAAAAAAAAAAAAGTTGGAGTACAAAAAAGTAAGCCTTGGTAGAAACACACTGAAATGAGAAAAGCAAGCCACACTACTGAATTCAAGGGCCATGAATAAATACAAATTCAAACTCCGGTGTGGGAACAGCTACAGATGTATAATGCTGGCTGTCCCTTCTAAAGTGAAATCCCTTGGAAAGTGGGAGAATATTCTTCCCCCAGGCAACCTCCCATCCTTCCATCAACAAGGAGCTTGTGGGGCACTGAGCATATAAAGCAGGGCACTGAACCTGTGCCCTACCTTCAAGGAATCTCCAGTTTCTGGCCACGGTCTCTAAGAAAGAGCTACCAGCTTTGGAAGTGAGCGCACTAGAGATAACAGATATATCTAGTGTTACGCTAGTTAATATTTAACAAATGGCTCTTGCAGGGGGAGGTAAAGCAATTTGTTGTTTTTGCCAATTTCTGTTGTGTAAATACTCTCACCAAAGCCTATTCTATTCTATTTACTTATTGATTGATACAGAGTTTCACTCTTGTTGCCCAGGCTGGAGTGCAATGGCACGAGCTAAGCTCACTGCAACCTCTCCCTCTGGGGTTCAAGCAATTCTCCTGCCTGAGCCTCTTAAGTAGCTGAGATTACAGGCACCCACCACCATGCTCAGCTAATTTTTGTATTTTTAGTAGAGAAGGGGTTTCGCCATGTTAACCATGCTGGTCTCAAATTCCTGATCTCAGGTGATCCGCCCACCTCAGCCTCCCAAAGTGCTGGGATTACAGGCATGAGCCGTGGCACCCGACCTACTTGTCTTTTGAGTAGTTTTTCTTTTCTCCTTTTAATGGGTCAGATGTTTAATTTTGCTACCTCCTCATCTCAGCAAGTGAATTATGCATTTAATTGAAAATCAAGTCTTTGTCTAAAAACTGTACTTACATGCTGATTTCCTCCAGAATAATAAAACACTGTTTACCAATCTAAGTCTCAAGTAGGTCTCATGCACCTGTCTTCCTCTGCTCCTTCTGTCCACCACCTCCCTCACTCCCATCTGGAAAGTCATCAAGCAGCCCCCCTAGCGAGTTCTGTCTGACATCAGGGCTGACAGGGCCTGGGTGAACTTCAGCGAAGTTGGCTTTCTTCCTGGCTGTTTCCGCTTGAAAAGAAGGCTCTTTCAGCAAGTCAGGGCAGTGTTTTCTGTTTGTGAGGTGCTTCTCTTCTGGGTGGCAGGTATGTCTTCTATTTACCACCGTTCACACTCACCACTCACCAGCATCTTTGGCAGTCCTTAGAAACTTTCAGGTGGTAAGTACTTAGTGTTTTCTTTTTATTTATTTATTTTATTTTTAGAGACAGAGTCTAGTTGCGTCGCCCAGGCTGGAGTACATCTGGTGCACTCACTGCAGCCTCAAACTCCTGAACTCAAGGGACCCTCCTGCCTCAGCCTTCTAAGTAGCATGCACCACCACATTCAGCTAATTAAAACAATATTTTTTTTTGTAGAGACAGTGTCTCATTATGTTGTCCAAGCTGGTCTCAAATTCCTGGCCTCAAGAAATCTTCCCACCTCAGCCTCCCAAAAGCTGGGACTCCTGGCACAGGCCACTATGCCCAGCTGCAAGTGTTTGTTTATCCCCATTTCACAGGGGGTAAAACCGAGGCACAAAAGGAGGAAATCGCCATCAGGATATGCTACTGCAGTGAGATACGAGATGAGAGTAATTCAGCTTCAGGGGTTACTTTCAAAAACTAAGGGAGAAACTGCAACAAGAAGTGAATCACGCTGCTTCTACTTCCTCCACCAGTCAACTGTGAGATGAACTTTTATGAGGAGCAATGTTGATGGATTTAAGTTTTCAATTTTACGTCATTTTTTGCTTTCTGGAGGCTGTACAGTGAGCTTGGAAGTAAGTGACATGTATGCTGGGAAGGTGGAGACAGGGAAGGTAAAGTGAGAGGCCTGTAGGATGCAGACCTTGGGGGATAATCAAACTAAGAAAAATCAGGTGGAGGTTACACAGAGACTCTGGGAAATGACACCTCAGCTGCTCACAGCTCACTGGAAAACTATAAGAACAGCCCTTTTTACATCAGGGCTGGTGGACTCTGACGTAGAAGAGAATGATGGCCTGATGCTGTGTAATTATATAAACAAATATACATACGTACATATACATATCCACAGTGTACATATACACATGTGATAAACATACATATATGTACAAATAATGATATACAATTATGTAATCATAATTGAGTTATAAGAACCCACTATGTGGCCGGGTGTAATGGCTCATGCCTGTAATCCCAGCACTTTAGGAGGCTGAGGAGAGCAGATCACAAAGTCAGGAGTTCGAGATCAGCCCAACCAACACAGTGAAACCCCGTGTCTACTAAAAATACAAAAAAAGAAAAAAGAACCCACTGTGTTAGAGTGTTTTCAAAACCAGACTTCATTTTAATAGAGAAACTCTTGGCCATAAAAACATTCCTTTGCTTTCTTCCCAAAGGGGTATGTGATTTTGTTCTGCCTTTGCTAAGCAAGAGTTGAAAACTGTTGAAATGTTCCTCATTGGCTAAGCTGGAGAGAACCAATACAATTCAACGGAGACTTCTGAGTCTTCAGAATTGAGCTCTGTTGAGCTCAATTTATGTGGGAAGGGGGAAAGGTTTGTGAACATGTTTATGATTCCATCAAATCTAGTCCGCCACAGCTCCACACTAGGGGCACAATCAAAATTATGCAAACAGCTAAGTTTCTCTCCCTTGAAAATGATGATATTGGGCCATATTTCCAATAATTAGAACTCACTGCTTGGGTCCACAGCAGCCTACAGCCAAAAGCTCATCAGATAAAGTCATCTTCACAGGGTATTGGGGCTGGGGAGGTGGTTAGGCCAACCCCTTCACTTCATAAATAAGGATGCTGCACCCCAGAGAAGTGACTTGTTCAAAGGCAAACAACACTGTTTAGGATGAGAAGCCACATCTTCTGAGTCTCCAGATCCCCGAACCTTCTTCCCAACCCCAGTGTCTCTATGGGTGGCATCCAACCCAGTCAATCCATTAACAGACAGGAACCAGCATGGGTGTTCCAGCACTGTGCCAAGCCCCCGAGGAGGACCGAGTGTTTTTGTTGCCTAGCTCTGAACAGGCACTGAGGCTCCAAGGTGGAACACAGTTTCTTCCTTACTGGAGGCTCCCAGGCAAGTGGTGGTCCCATGGAACTAAACAACAGATGAGTATGGAATAGGGTGACATCATTCCAGAAGAACAGACAGCAAACAATGGGAGTTCAGAGGAAAGGCCACACCCAGCGTTGAGGGAGGGTGTAGGAACCTAAAGGAAAAGCAGACAACATCCAGGTAAAGAAGAGGACAAAGGACAGTGATCCTGCAGAGAAAACACCATTGAGCAAAGTTGGGAGGCAACCACGGCAGGTAAGCAGGCTCGGTCTGGGCAATCCCAGGGAAGCAGGAGACTAATCCAGTGAGATGCCAGACTATGCAGAAACAAAGTTCTGTAACTCTACGTGGGCTGCAATGAGCATGCGGCCAAAGCAAACACATGCCTGGGCCAAGGAGTCCTAAGTGGGCACCAGGACCCAGGCAGGAATGAACAGATAAGCAAAGAACCAGCAGAAGAGAGCCTTCCAGACAGCACAGTAGCAAAGCAGCTTGGCTAGAGTCTGAAGAGGCAGACACAGTCACCGAGATCATTCCCTGGGCTCTTCTTGTCCACTGGGGCAACATGCAGTCTGAAGACATAGGTAGCTGGAGCTATCAATCAGCCAACAACAGTCTTGTTTCTGTTGAGCTGTAAGCCTTCCAGGGCTGCAACTAGACACGTGGGAAGGTCCGATTCGAAACGAAAACTAATTCCTGAAAGGTTTTACAACTGCTATCCCTTTTCCCCTCTCTCCCTGAACCTAGGCTTTTGCCCTGGTAGAGGTGGAGACAGTGTAGCCCAGAGGTTGAGACTGGAGTCAAAGGTTCCAAGTTCAAAGCCCACCCAGCTACTTATGAACTGAATGATCCTCAGCAAAGTTGCTTTAACTTTCCTGACTCAGCTCCCTCATCTAGACTCTCAGAATTGTTAAATTAAATAAGAACACAGAAGTTGCGTTCAACACGGCACCTGGCACTGGGAAGTGCTGTGTGAGTTGTAGTGTTCTTGTGTTGTACTGAAAAGGCAAGGTGGGCCAGATTTTAAAGGAACCCCCATACCACAGTCTGGACTTTGTAGTGGACCGTATTTTCCAAAAAGGAATGCATCACAATCTTGCCTATCTGCTTTTCTTATGGTGTGACTTTGACACTCCTCCCATTGAGAGATGGGTTTCTCTATTTCCGCCCCCTTGATAGGCTTCTGAGCATAGTGACAGTGATAATTCATGACTGCTGAAACTAGATCCTAGCATGCCTTTCTTAGGAATGCTTGCTCTTGGAAGCCAGTCACCACCATGCTGTGAGGAAGAGCAAGCAACCACATGGAGAGACCACTGTTCCAGCCAACAGCCCCAGCTGAGGTCCCAGCTGACAGCCTGCCTCAAATCACCAAGGATGTGAACAAGTAAGCCTTTACATGTCAACTCACCCTAGCCTTTGAATATTCCCAGCAGAGGCCTCAGACATAACAAGGCCGAGACAAACCATCCCACGGTCCCCTTTCCAAATTCCTGACCCACAGAATCTGAGTCTGATGAAATAGCAGTTACTTTATGCGACTTTGTTTCGGTTTGTTACACAACAACAGATAATCAATACAATTGTTTTAAGGCAACAGATGGCCATGGAAAGGTTTGAAAGTGGTGAAAAAGCAAGATGTATGTTTCCAGAAGACCAATCTGACTGCAGTGGGCTAAGATTGGTGGAAGGGGACTCAGCAGGAAACCAGTGACACTACACAATGCAAACCGGATTATTAGGGCAGGGGGAGGGTGTTAAAGGTCACAAATTAGATGTGGGCATTAACAAGAAGAGAGAACTTCAAATGACACCAAGGTCTGAACTAATAGTGGAACCTGACATAATCAGGTTCATCCAGAAGGGACTAATATTGTTTTTTGCTGGTGGACAGAGTAGAGGAGAGAAGGTAAATTCCATTTTAAATACATGGAATTTGCATGATGTCAGGATAATCTAAGACATATTAAGTGAGAAGTCAGTCGGAGCTAGGCTGGCTGTCGTGACTCACATCTGCAATCCCAGCACTTTGGGAGGTCAAAGCAAGAGGATTGCTTGAGGCCAGGAGTTCCAGACCAGCCTGGGCAACATATTGAGACCCCAATTTCTGCAAAAAAAAAAAAAAATAGTCACCAACCACAGTGGCTCACGCCTGTAATCCCAGCAAACTGGGAAGCCGAGGCAGGCAGATCATGAGATCAGGAGTTTGAGACCAGCCTGGCCAGTATGGTGACACTCCATATCTACTAAAAATACAAAAATTAGCTGGGCATGGTGGCGGGCACCTGTAGTCTCAGCTAGTCCAAGGCTGAGGCAGGAGAATTGCTTGAACCTGGTAGGTGGAAGTTGTAGTGAACCGAGATCGCACCACTGCATTCCAGCCTGAGCAACAGAGTGAGACACCATCTCAAAATAAATAAATAAATTAGCTTGGCATATGTGCCTGTAGTTCCAGTTCTTGGGAGGCTGAGAATCACTTGAGCCCAGGAGGTTGACGCTACAGTGAGCCATAAACGTGCCACTAAACTCCAGTCTGGGCATCAGAGTGAAACGGTCCAAAATTAATTACTTAATTAATTAATTAACCCAGGACTAGAAGCTGAACACAGGTGTTGGTCAAAACCTTGAAAATGGATGAGATCAACTTTCAGATCATGCTTGTGTTTAGGAGAACAGGTGAGCTTGACCAGGGTTAGCCAGTCACAGAGGCAGAATTCTCGGAGTATAACTTCACGAACAAGTTTCGGAAAGGTGCAATGATTATTAGTGCCAAATGCTAGAGAGGTGAAAGAGATGAAAGACTAAGTAAAGGAACTGGAACCCAAAAGGTAATAAGGAATGGACCCAAAGTTGGAGGAGGGCCTCTCCATCCCTGACCAAAAATGAAACAAGATACACAAACTGGGAGATGAATGAAATGACAAACCCTGCTGGTACACACCAGAATGTCTTCAGTCTCTATTCAGATGGACATTTTCTGTGAGTCTGGAAAGGGGAAGTGGTGGGAACTGTTAAAGTGAGATGGTGAAATGCACATTTCTAAGGGTACAAAGTGGGCACAAGAACACCTGACACTTATCCACCTCACAAAGATAAAGCACAGATTAGATTCCTATAAAGTGCTCTGAGTCCTCTGCCATTGTAATAGACCCAATACCTATCTTTCAGCCTTCAGAGAACAGTTGTTAACATTTGCTGAACTCTCCAGCATGCCTGGGAGGTAGATATTATCGTTGGATGAGGAAACGAAGGCCACACAGCAAGTCAAAAGCCAAGGCAAGATTAGAACAGGGCCTGCCTTCTGTGTGGGGCAGTCTATTTGGCTAGATTCCTTTTGTCAGTAACAGGTTCTATGATCTGTAATACGGAAGAGGCTTGTTTCCGGGGAGAATGTGAAAATAGACTCATTAATGACCATAAGCATCTCTGAAACTCACCAAGGGGGTGGTGGGAAAAAAGGTACAGCCAGCCAGATTCTGGAAACAATGGAAGAAATTACAGGAGGCCAGGCGAAATGGCCCACACCTATAATCCCAGCACTTTGGGAGGCTGAGGCGGGTAGATCTGAGGTCAGCAGTATGAAACCAGCCTGGCCAACATAGTGAACCCCCATCACTACAAAAATACAAAAATCAGCTGGGCATGATGCACGTGCCTGTAATCCCAGCTACTTGGGAGGCTGAGGCAGGAAAATCATGTGAATCCGGGAGGCGGAGGGTGCAGTGAGCCGAGATTGCACCACTGCACTCCAGCCTGGGCAACAGAGCAAGATTCTGTCTCAAAAAAAAGAAAGAAAGAAAAAGAAACAAGAAATCACAGGACCACTGGAGACTGTAAGAACAGCAAGGGAGATGCAGGCCCTTCGAAAGCATCAGTCTGGGCAGATTCAGAGGCTGTGGGGAGAGACCTCACAGAGCAGCCTATGCCCCAGCCATTCCTATACATCTGTCTTCAGTCTCCTCCCTTGCGGCAGACACAGCGTGAACGTGGCTGGTTTGGACTGAGGCTCTCAGCCGCAAAGACAGAGCAGTAACTGGATTCCTCACACGGTGAACAGGTAACAAAATGGTAGTGCTGTGGATCAGAACACCTCAGGAGGCCCCAGAAACAGTGAAGAGGAAGAGTAACCGTTTTGTGAAAAAGACTTGACTTGAAATCTCTGGAGAAGCAGTAGCATCATAATTCTTCCTCTTTCTGTATTTACTTTTTTCCTTAGAAACTCAATTTCTTAATAAAATTAAAAAAGCAATGATGACACTGTTTGAATATTATTATAAATTGGTTGGAGTGGAGGATAAATGAAATTGGCACAGGGAAGGCAAGAGGCATTTACTGAGTGTCTATCACATTCCCTCTCAATGTTTAGAATCCCCTTGTGAGATATTAGCAGCCCATTTTACAGAGACTTAGAAAGGATAAATCTTTTACTCCAAGCCATACAGCTAGTCTATGATAGAGCCAGGATTCCAGACCTGACATGTCCAATTCCAGAGCTATTGCTCTTTTCTATACACTGCACTATACATCTCAACAGTGATGAGTTCAACATTAGTCAGGTCTGAACTAATGAGATTTAGTATAATGCCCCAGAGCTGACTGTACCGCAGAGCTGGAGAACACATAGGGAGGGGCACTTCCTTATGTATACCTGAACTATGTTTGCGATTCACACAAAATAAAGAAGTGACCAGAAACAGCCCCAGCCTGAGAAGCAAAGTCACCGCAGTCCACTCCACCCCAGCCTAGAGCTCCCTCCCCGCTGTACTCTCACGCTACCCTCCAGCTTTCCAACAGTGCCACCCCCCCACCCCCCCCCACCCCCCGCTGCTCCCTTCAGCCGACTCTGCTCGCCTCCAGCCCATCAGCAGCACCTTGACTCAGGTGGCAGGAGTTGGGAGGTTAACCAGATACACCAATCCCTGTTAAGTCGGTCACCAACATGTTACCCCTTCTAGGATATGGGCTTTTTGTGTTTTCGTTTTTTCACTCAGTTAACATGTACTTTACCACCACAAAGGTAACATTACCATGGTGGACATCTCATTCATCCTCGAAGACTGCCGGAGGAGACAGCTGTAGGGCAAGTAGGCCTTTGGGCATTTCCCAGCCCACCAACCAGCCAATCACAAAATCAAACCAGTATTTACTTTTAAAAATACTCATTACGTTTTAATTATTGAACAGATTTGCTCATTCAGTGAGGTAGTTACTATCTATTATTATACCCATTTTACAGAGAGGATACAGCCATGAAAAGGTTCAAAAACCTCCCAAGGGCTCACAGCTCATAGGCAGCAGGAACAGGATTCAAATGCAGGTAATCAAGACGCAGAGTCATGCTCTTAACCACTATCCTACGAGTTCTCGAAGCAAGATCTGCAGACCCTTGGGATCCTTAAGACCCTTTCAGAGGCTCCAGGAGGTAAACCTATTTTCCTAATCATACCAAGTGTTACTTGCCTTGTTTTTCAGGTATTTTCACTCATGATGCAAAAGCAACGGTGGCTAAAACTGCCGGTGCCTGAGGCTGCATGAAGCCAGGGGCTCCACAATGCACCAAGTCCTATGCTCACTACTGTACACTCTTAGTGGAGGGGGAAAAGCCAGTTTCACTTAAAACTGTCCTTGACAAAGCAGTAACAATGACTAATTTAAAGAATTCTGACCCTGGAATGCAGATCTTCTAAAATATTTGGTGTGACAAACGGAAAGTACACATACAACAAGGCCGCTGCCTTGGGAAGTGAGATTCTCAGGAAATGCAACTGTGTCATCATTTGAGCTGGGAGCTGAAATGGTCACTTTCTTCCTGGATATGACATTTGTACTTGAAAGAACTGACAGACAGCAATGACTATTCAGATCTGGGTATCTCTCGCAAATTTTACTTGAAATGAATAAAGTGAGCCTGTCACTTCAAATAAAACAACTCACAGTATTTGTGGCCAATGATAAAATCTGACCTCTTAAGAAAGAGAATTTTGGAAAACTTGTATTTGCTATTAGCAGCCTGCAGCTTCCCAATACTGGTCATGACAGTGATGAATGTAATTTTTTGATACTATATGGTGCAACATCAATACCCGGAAGAGCTGAATAACCCAGTGACCCGATATTTTCCAAATGACTAATGCATAATGCTACAAAACCCTGCATTAGATTTTAACATAACAGAATATTAATGTTTATATGGTTTCAGATACCACGTGGCAACTAACCTTTAAGAAACTACTGCTTGTCAAATTTTGGTGGTGTATCAAAGAAGAATATCCATAATTATCTGAAAAGGCGATTACAATACTCTTCTTTTTGGTGATTACAAATCTGGGTGAGCCCAGATTTTCTTCATATTTTTCAACCAAAATAATGTATTGCTTCAGATTGAATGCAGAGGCAGACAAGCGAATATAGCATCTTCTCTTAAGCAAGGCATTGGAGAGACTAAAGGTAAAACAATGTATCCATTCTCATTAAGATATTTCACTTTAGAAAAAACATTGTTTTGGTCCTTTTTTTTTGGAGATGGATTTCGCTCTTGTTACCCAGGCTGGAGTGCAATGGCGCGATCTCGGCTCACTGCAACCTCCGCCTCCTGGGTTCAGGCAGTTCTCCTGCCTCAGCCTCCTGAGTAGCTGGGATTACAGGAACGCACCACTATGCCCAGCTAATTTTTTTGTATTTTTAGTAGAGACGGGGTTTCACCATGTTGACCAGGATGGTCTCGTTCTCTTGTTTTGGTCTTATGTCTCCAGGGGTACATGCCCAGGTTTGTTACATGGACATATTACATAAGGAGGTTTTAGTTTCTACGGAATCCATCACTCAGATAGTGAACAATGTACCCAGTAGGTGAGTTTTAACCCTCACCCCACTCCTGCTCTTTCCCCTTTGAGTCTCCAGTGTCTGTTATTTTAACCTTTACCTCTGTGTAGCCACTGCTTACCTCCCACTATAAGTGAGAACATGCAGTATTTAATTTTCTCTTTTTAAGTTATTTCACATAAGATAATGTGAAATACAAATGGTGCTGCAAAGGAAATAATTTCATTCTTTTTTATGGCTACATAGTATTCCATGGCATATTTATGCCACCTTTTCTTCATCCAATTACCTGCTGATGGGCACCCAGGTCTATTCCATGACTTTGCTAATGAACCATGCTATGATAAACACACAAGTACAAGTGTCTTTTCTATCCAATCATTTCTTTTCCTTTGGGTAGACGCCCCGTAGTGAGATTTTGGCAGTTCTATTTTCAGTTCTTTGAGAAATCTTCGTACTGCTTTCCATAGAGGTTGTACTAAGTTACATTCACACTATGGGGATATAAGGATTCCTTTTTCTCTGCATCCACCCCAACGTCTCTTGTTTTTTGAGTTTTTAATAATAGCCATTCTGACTGGTATAAGATGGTATCTCAATATGGTTTTAATTCACATTTCTCTGATGGTTAGTAAACATCACAGAAATGTGAATGTTTAGTATTTATATTTAGAAAATGTAGTTATTTTAAATAATTTAAATAGTTATTTTAAAATATTTTTACTATCAGAGAAATGTGAATGTTCAGTATTTATATTTAGAAAATATAGTTATTTTAAATAAACTAATATTTACATTAAAATGTAATTTTAAAAATGAATGAATAGATACTTTAAAACTTCCTTGTTTTTAACTCCAGATGTGGTAAATAGCATCAGCTCTTTAGTCCTCAGTAATTTGTAAGAGTATATAGGGACACAGAGACCAAAAGTTTGAAAATCCCTACTGCACAGCATGGAACCTAGAGGGAGAGGAGACAAAGAGCAGGCTGTGTGGCTGCATCACTGTTTTTGTTTTGTTTTGTTTTTTGTTTTTGAGACGCAGTCTCACTCTGTCGCCCAGGCTGGAGTACAATAGTGGTACGATTTTGTTTTGCTGCAGCTTCCGCCTGCTGGGTTCCAGCGATTCTCCTGCCTCAGCCTTCCTAGTAGCTGGAATTACAGGTGCCCAATATCATGCCCGGCTAATTTTTGTGTTTTTAGTAGAGACTGGGTTTCACCATGTTGGCCAGGCTGGTCCCAAACTCCTGACCTCAGATGATCCACCCACCTTGGGCTCCCAAAGTGCTAGGATAACAGGAGTGAGCTTGTTATTCTGCTTCACTTTCTAGGTAAGGGGGTGGGAGGGAACCACAACTAGTCACGATGAATTTTACAGACTTCTCAGCAACTAAGTTTCAAGGACCCAATTTTTTACCAGTCTTTAAGGCTCAATGACAATAAGCTTTAAAGATCGTTCTCGACCCCTGTGGTTTCCAGAGCGCTCTCAGCTCTACCTCTCGTCTTGTACACTCGCCGTTCTCTCTGGCCCATCTGGGAAACTCCAACCCTCCTTCATGATGTATATTGCCAGCCTCTCCTCTCTGCCCCAGGCACCCTGTATATCTCTTTTCTCTTTTTCTTTTCCATTAAAACTCACCTTTACTAATCCAGCACCATAATTCCACTCTTAGAACCTCCCATGCAATTGGAAGGGGAATACAGGAAGAGGTGAGTATGTTGGGAATGTAGGGTAGTTCTCTAACTGGGGCCCCATTTTGCTTTCTCTAAAGTGAGAAACACTGGGTCTAGCAAAGTAGAGGAGCGCTGAGGCTTTTGGTTCAAATGGTAAAGGAGGCCCTCAAGAGCAGCACAATGAGTGTATCCCGAAGGCAGTGCTGGAGGCGGTCTCGTGATCTAGATTTCCTCTTGGCATCCAAGTCCTTTCTAATTTCTTCAGGTTTTTCGGCCAGGTTTGGTACGTCATAGTTCTGAGCCAGATGCATTCCAACCACGTCGCCCAGTGTAAATCCAAGCAGGAACTGGAGCACTATGACAGTGGGGAGGGTATGAAGGGCGGCTGCAACCTGTAACCCTTTTCTATAGCACTAAGCACATGGCTCTGATGTTTCTGTGGCCTTTTCTCTACTGGAAGTGTGAGGCCTCAAAAGCTAGAATTCTGTCTTAATCCTGGTACCTTTCTCTGGTACTTGGAATGCAGAGTGAAACTCAGAAAAGATCTGCTGAATTAATAAAACCAAGCAACTCCCTAACATGCACCAACCAATCTTCCAGTAGCAATGTGGCTTATCCAGGGAAGCCTGTGTTGACCAGCTGAGAGAAACAGTGCAGGATTTTTAGTGATTCTCAGTATGATCAACTGAAATGTGGACTCACTGTCAAGTCTTGATATAGTTAGACTGGTGTAAAGCCTGAAACTGTAAAACTGAGACCTAAATCTGGGGCTTCCAAACCCTCCAAGGCAAGCAGTCCTGGCTCAGTCCCCAACATACTTCGAGGACCTTCCCAGGCAGACACTGGCCTCCTCCTGCAAGACCCATGTCTGAAGTGCTCTAAAACCAAAACAATGCTTAAAAAAAATTATTATTATTTGAGACAGACTCTCACTCTGTCACGCAGGCTGGAGTGCAGTGGCGTGATCTCAGCTCACTGCAACCTTCACCTCCTGGGTTCCAGCGATTCTCCTGCCACAGCCTCCCAAGTATCTGGGACTACAGGAGCATGCCACCGTGCCTGGCTAATTTTTGTATTTGTAGTAGAGATGGGGTTTTGCCATGCTGGCCAGGCTGGTCTCGAACTCCTGACCTCAGGTGATCCACCTGCCTTGGCCTCCCAAAGTGCCTGAATTACAGGCATGAGCCACCACACCAGCCCAAAAACAATGCTTTTAAGCAACCAGGTTTGAAAGAGAAAATTTTAATAAAATTAGGAGTATATGAAGACAATTGTAAAGTCATTGCTGTTGCTTTAACTGCTATACGACCAAGGACTTCGTAACTCAATTAGAGAAAATATTTTTTTCCCAAATTTAATGTAAGCAACGTGTGGGAATAAAGGATGTTGAGTCAGATAATCCCCTGTAGGCCTGAGAGATAATACCATGTGTGTAAGTTTTGAAAAATGTTCACATACCTCAGGATGTTACAGCTTCTTTCTGGAATGTTGCTACTGTCCTGTTAATCCCTCCCCCAACCTGCCCGCCACAAAGTTCTCTTATCCTGTTGTTCACCACACCGCTTTCCTTGTACTATACCGTGTTCTAACTGCTCCCCACCCTAGTCATCTAGGAACTAGGGGAGGATACAGTAAAGCTAACAGGCATAAGACATTTCAAAGCCTCCTGAGGTTCTGCCTAAGAACACGATCTTCTGATCCCTTATCCCTACAAAATAAGAATCTTGGAAATCGTCTATTCTCATTCTTATTTTACTAAAGAGGAAGCTGAGAAAATGTAAAGTGACTGAAATGCCATACTTTCTCAATCCATTTCTGTACATTTCAGGAAGCTTGATCCCAAGGAAAAGAGGGTGCCCCACAGTCAAAGAGAGAAGGAAACTGAGGAATGGTTGAGACTGTCAGTACCTACTCAACACCATTTACTAGACGCTAAGCCCAGAAATCCTATGTTAGCACAGGCACACAGAGAAAGCCCTATGTATTTAAAATTTAACAGATATCAAATCAGAGCAAAAAATAAAGTAAATGCAACAAGCACATTAAAAACAAACAGTAGTTTAGGAAAATGGAAAGTTTACCAATGACTGGAACAGGAAAGGCATGAAGAAAAATTAAAAACTGGGTAAGGACTAAACAATTTACCTTGCAGTTTAAGGATCTGTTTAGAAAGAGTATGTACATTCATTACTGGGGAGGTATTTCTGGTGACCAAAAAACCCCCACAATAACAACATTGCAGTATTTTTCACAAGAACCCTTAACCCCCTTACTTCGCCACAAGAGGGTGCACACTTCCCTATTAATACAGGGACCCAGGGAACCTGCATACATTCTCCTAGGCAGTTGCTCACCTCTGCTCGGCCACCTCTCTCCCTAGCCTGAGTCTCATGACAGTAAAAGGCATCTGTACATAGTTGCAGAGGTTAAACCTGATCACATACTTTATCTCGTGTAATTCTAACGACAGTTCTGTGGCGGTGGGTAGAGCAACTTATCAACCTCATTTTAAAGATGAGGAAACACACTCAGAGGTGAAGTGACTCGCCCAAGGTCAGAGAGATCATCACGTTAGAGCCCAAGTTCAGACTCATGTTTTCTAGTTACCAAATGCTATAGACATTTTCCTTACATCCCTAGAAGAGCATAATCAAAACCCATTCCTCAATCATTCAGTGCCTCTGTTCATCCATTCTACTGTTTCTGAGCAAAGAACCATACACTGAGCAGATGAGAAACTGCTCACTTTTGCATTGTTAAAATCGGCGAAAGCTGGTTTTTAACAAGTATGTGTTAGCATCTGGCAATTATCTTTATGGGTTTTCAATGAAGTGAATAGGGTGCTGACACTTGTCTACTATTTACGGCAGCAGTAACATGAACTAGAATAATTTTAAGAGTTTGCTTGTAACAGGGAAATTAACTGGAAGTTCAACTTTCTTTGGCTAGCTC